TTTATATAATGAAATTAACACAAAAAAAAATTAATAAAATAAATGGAACGAAAAAAGATTAATGATTTAATTCCTGCATATAATTAAAATTTAATATATTAATATTAAAAGTACATATATACATATATACTTTTAGAATATATATAATATATATATATATATCCCTTAGAATATATATATATATATATATATATATATATATATATATATATCCTAATATATGTATAGGATATAGGATATATGTATATTCATATAATTATACATATAAGGTGTAATCGATAGTGTCAAATGACGGTCGACAACAATTGCATCTGACGGTCGGCCACTAATTATTGACAATCAAAAATTTATGCTAAAAAAAAACTTTTGCATATCAACTTTCGTGTATAACTTTTGTATGCAATCGATTTCAGCAGTTAAAATTTTTTTTTACAAAAATGTCAAAAAATTTTAGCAATGTTTGGCAAGTAATTGACATTATTAATTACGGGACATTATTGTTTATTCGCATTATCGGTTACACAACAAAAATGGAAACATAATTTATGTTGACAACATTAAAAGTTACAATGCTCGATTACACCTTTATCATAATAAATATATTTGAATGAATGTACATGTACATAAATATATTGCATACATAATATATGTATGTGTTATATATAATTTCACATAATATTGTATTTCATTATTATAAAATATAAAATATATAATATATATATATATAAGTATATATATTTTTAATTATTTTCACATTGAAATTAAAGAAGTTATCTATATATAAAATATTTTTTTAAATTGTATTTACTTTTATATAAAATATATATATATATAAATAAAATATATATATATATATATATATATATATATATATATATATATATTCATATACATATATATATATATATATATATATATATATATACATATATATATATATTCATATATATTCATATATATATATTCATATATTCATATATTTATTCATATACATATATATATATATATATATATATACATATATATATATATGTAATATAATAATAAATTAAATATATAAATATATATCATTATGTATAATATATATAAATTGACGAATGTTTCCTATACAGTAAAACAAAAAAAAAACAAACAAATAAAAAACAATTTATTTAAAATATTTAAGGCAACATAACAAAATACAACATTCATTTTAAACTGTAAGTGTAAAACAAAAAGTATAACAATCATAAACAGAACTTATACACACATAATTATATATTATAAAACAAACATACATATATAGAGAAATATTGAAAAAAAAAAATAAAAATTCCAAAAATATTTTATTATTATTTTTTTTAAATTTTGGTTTCTGAAACAAAATAAAATAATCTTCAAATTTAAAGAAAAAAAAAGGCATAAAAACAACTGAATATAAAAACTGTAATTAAGAATACCTGAAATTAAAAACTATATACATAAACTTAACATTCTATATATATATATATAAAATATATATTATATATTGCATATATATAATATTATTTATTATACACATGTATATTTATTTAATATTAAAGTAATATGTACAAAATATACAAATACGTACACACATAAAATTCATAAAACATAATATTAATAAAAATGCGTGTGCAATATTAATAAAACAAAAATAAAAAATTTATAAAATTTCGATATATATATATATATATATATACACATTAAATAGCTATATTTCGAATCGTATATATGTATATACTACATAATATATCAATAATATTATATTTAAAAATAAATATAATAAATAAAATTACAACCATTTAAATGTGTAATTTTACATCTAATGCATGTAATTTGTATAACATTTGTAAAATATATAAGAACATATGTTTATGAAACAAACATATTTATATACATATATTGTATAAATAATAAATATTGATTAAAAAATCAAATAAACACGAAAAAAATAATAAATAAATAATTAAAACAAAAAAAAAATACATTTTTTTCTACCTAAATTTAAGTGAATTTATTGTTATTGAAAACTTTGGACGAATGTTATTAAAAAAAAAAAACTGTAAAGAAAAAAAAATATTGAATTAAATTTTACATTTTGAAAATGTAAAAAAATCCATAATGTTTACCGTTATTTATTAAATAAATGTAACGATAACGGTATGTGGAAAGAAGCGATAAAAAAAAATAAAATGCAATGTAATGAGACAAAAAAAAAAGATAAAAAAATAATGAAGAGGAAAAAAAATTTAAAAAACTATAAAAAGAAAAAAAACAGTAAAACAAGATGAAAAACAGAAACATTTTTCGGTGACTAATAAAAATTCAAAATTACATTAAAAAAAAAAATTCTCAAATCTTTTATTTGTTATAATTTTTGTAACTTATTTTTTTTTTCTAAATTCAAATTGAATAAATCAATTTACACGAAACTAATTCATTGGCAAAACAGAACCAAACGAAATTTGCAACACTACAACCTTTCATTTCGAAGTTAGAACAAGCTCTCATTTCAGGTAGCAACTCCATCTGTATCTATACAAGAAAAAATGGCTGACTTCTAATGGTTATAAAATTTTTTAAATTAATAACATTCAACAATATTAATATTCAACATTCAACTATAAAAATCAAGCTCGTAGTCACAAATTAAGTTTGAAAATGTTCAACAAATTTCATTTTTCATTTTTGTATATTTTAATTGATTGAAATTTAGAATATATACCGTAAAAATAATTATGAAAAAATAAAAAAGTTTTTTTTGATCTGTTGTAGATTTGTGTAATTTGCAGAAAAAGTTGTATGGTTTTATGCAGATTTTTGCAGTAATTTGAAGAAATAACGTTAATTGACAAATACTGCAACCTGATTAATTATACAGATGTATGTTCAGCCTCTTTTGAAATGGATTTCTTGTTATTTTAATTTATTTTTTTTAAGTTTTTAAATTAAATTCTATGAATAAGTTTAGATGATTTTGTTGTAGTAAAAATATATTTATTATTTATGAAAAATTAATTGTTTTTTGTGTAGTTCAAGATTTTTTTTTCGGAAAATTGTAAATATTAATATTGTAATTATTACAATATTTTAATAGTAACTTTTATTAGATTATATTTTTGAATTTTCAAAAGATAAAAAATATGCCGCATTGTTAAGTTTTAAAGTTTAAAACATTAATTAATAATTACGTAGTTATTAATATTTTTGTGTAGACGACAGTATAACGTTCTTAATTATATAATATATACATATTATATTTAATTACCATAGACATAGATAATTCACAATAGAAAGTATAAAATTTAAAATTTTTAAATTTAAGATTAATTTGTTATTATTTAATCTCATTATGAATTATGAATTCCTAATCATTTAATGCACAAACAGGAATATTTTGCTTCATTTTCAAGAAGCATGTGCAGATTTAAATATTTTGATTACTCAATTAATTCACTAAATTTTATGGACAATTAAAAATTTTTCTTACAATTATGTATATGTATATAATTTAATGTATATGTATAAAATTATAATTGTTGATTAATGAAAAAAGGAGGTCAAGGAATGTGTTCTTTAATAATATAAATATACCTTTAAATTTAATTATTCATGAAATTATAACCTCTTTTATATTAAAGTTTTAAGTCTAAATATATTTAAAATCTTATTACTAACACCTTTATACTTTTATTCTCATATGATTGTTGATTTTATTCGAATGTGATTGGCAAATTACAATTTACCAATATTTCCTATATTTACAAAGAAGAGTGTTTCTAAATATAAAGGAAGAGCATAAATAAATAATTTTGACATCAACCAGTTTTTATTTTAATTTTAGCCTTATAGTCTTAGAAAATATGAATAACTAATATATTTAGTACAATATTATAAGAACTTTTTTTTAGGGACCTTGAAATCAACCTAAATAACTGAATAGTAAAAATATATATGTATGTATGTACAAATTCTAATAATTATGTGTATGTAAACTATTTTCTAGTTGTACTATTAATTGATTTCTATTTATTTTTACCATAATATTTGTTAAATATTGACCTAATTTGATGAAAAATTCAAGATATTTTGCAAAAATGTAGTCACGCAAACAGTACCCAGCCATATAATGGAGATGTTCTTATTTTATTTTAGAACTACATACATACATCCATATACATTTTTTAATTTTAGTGTTATTTGTTCAAAAATATATTATGAATATATTTTTGAGCAAATAATTCTAAAATATGTGATATTGAAAGATATTTTGGAAAGAAGAGGCAAATGTAATATTAAAATATGCGTTAATTAAATTTGTCAATTTTTACAATACCACCGCTTTAATTATTAAAATAACTAAATTAAATCTAATTAAATTTGAATACTCAAATAAATCTAAATAATTTTAAAAATGCATATTGGAAAGCCTATTAAAAAATTAACAAACACCATGATGAAAAATTAATAAGGCAATAAGACATTATTTTCAGTAACATTTTATTATGCCAAAGCAGTGTGAATTTATGAAATGTGTAGTATGTAACTATATGCAGGCATTTTGTTATTCGTTAGATAATGTAAATACTGTTAACAGTAAGATTTTCATATCTTAAAATTTTCAATTTAACCAAATCAGGAAATACAACATGAAACCCAGGCAACCACATAAAATTAGTTCAATAAATCGATTTAATTTAATAAAGGAATTTATTAATATTCTTATAACGAAAATATTCTCACATCCAAAAAATTTTTCAAACGTAAAAGTTTGGTTTGAGAGTTTGTTAACAAAAAAATTTTATGATTTTTAATTTTTCATATTTTTTATAAATTAAATTTTACAATTTATTTCAAATAATTTATGCCTATCAAAAATATTGAATTCATTTTAGCATTTTCAAAAAGGAATTACAATTGAAAATTAATTATTATTATTATACTAAGAAATTAAGAGAAAATCCAATAAAATGTATAAGTTTAACAGATCTAGAAATAGTATGGGAATGGATAATGAATGCCATACTGAAATTATTTCAAGAGCTCCTCCTAAATATTCTGATTCTGATTGGGAATTTAATAATCGATCAAAATTTGAAATGTCAGAAAATCAGCAAAGGAATGCTGAAAGAGTTTTAGAGTGAGTATTTATAGATCAAAAAAATAATTTTTCATTCAAAAAAATTTTTTTTTTCAAATTATAAGAGAGTCACGTCGAATGGTTGATGAAGTTCGTGATACAACTGAAACTTGGAAAAGAGAAGTTGATCATAGTTTGCATGAAAGAACAACCGAAATTAAATATCTTGTTGATGAACTTAATCAACAAAAAAGAACTGGTTTGGAAGAAGAAGATGCTTTAAAAACATATCGAAATAGACTTTTAAGAACTTTACAAACTTGTCGAGAAACATCACTGGCAATATGCCAAAAATGTATTATATTTAGAGAAGGTCGACTTGGAACTGATCTCTGTGATGATGAAGCTGATCGACAATTACGACAAGAATTAAGAACAATAAATGGATGTCAAGCTTTATTGGAAAAAACATTAAATCAAACTAACGAACAAATTAGGCGTTTGAAAGCAACTCTTTATCTATTAGATCGTGATTTGAGTGCAAAAGATAAATCATTGAGAATTGATGAAACTAATTTATCTTTAAGAGAAAATCAACAACAATTAAGCGTATTTCATGGCAAATCTCCATTAGAAAAATGGTATTTTTAAAATTTTTAAAATTTATAATTTTTTTCAAAAAATCTTATATGTCCATTTTTTTATTTAAGCGCATATACTTTACCGCAATGGCAACATCAAACTTATAAAAATATTGAGAATACAGCAAAAGAATTAAATTCAGCTGCCGAACTAAGAGCTTATATAGATCTTGTAATTAAACAAGTTATTGAAGATTTAGAAAATCAACGTGATCGCACTAATGAAGCATTTGAACGACGAATTGCAGAAACTAGAAGAATTAAAGAAGATTTAGAAAATACTCATAGTGATACCCTTAAACATATAATGGAAATTCAATCAAATATTCAAAGATTGGAAAAAGAAATATCGGATAAAGAAGGATATTTGGCACTTTGTCAAATGCGTCTAGGAAATCGTGCCCAACGTCCTGGTTTAGAAATGACAAGAGATAATGTACAAGAATCTCTATTTAGTGAACTTCAAGCATTAAAGGCGACATTAGGAAGATTGAATAACAAATTGCTTGAAAATAAGGCTACACTTCGTTACTTGCTACAAGCTCAAGTAATGCAAGAAGAAGAAATCAATATAAAAACGAATACACTTAAAATTGATGATGTCAATTGTATGACATTACGAAGAAATTTACTTTATAGGCAAATATAAACATAATTTAAATTTAATTTAAAGCCTCAAACCCACTTTTACAAAATGTAGAAAAAAAATTGTTATAATAAAATCATAAAATCATATTTCTAAAAAACCTTGTACATAAAAAAAAACTGCGATTATGCAATAGCTGTTTGAAATGCGACTACAATGCTATTAGTGATTTAAAAAATATTCTTTTTAATTAGAAAAAAAAAATCAGTGCAACAAAAGTTATAAAAACAAGGTCATGTATTATTATACATACTTATACATTTAGAAATATTGTTTATATTTAAAAGGGAATCGTCACTGTTAATATCACCAAAATAAAACTTAATTAAAAGCACATTAGCTAAAATTTGAAGAAAATGAAATTTGCAAATTAGATAAATTTAGCAGTAGTAAACCGTTTGTAATTCCAATCAAATCAAATGAATCAGTTAATAAATAAACTCACAAGCTAAAAAATATTTTTAATAAAAAATCCTAATTCCATAACAATTTACTATTTATATTAAAAATTTAGTTGAGAATTGCTCTTAACAACAAAATAAATTCCTTTAGAAAGATTAAAAATTTTAAGAATGAAGCTTTAAGTGCAAATTAATAAGCAATCAATCTTTCCAATTAAGCCAATCATACAATCATACAATTCTACTTTTGTACCGTGTTCTGAAAATGCATTTTTGAAAATTAAACAACGATTTTATAGTTCTTGAAGATTTATTCACTTAATGTAAACAAATTTAACTACATCGATAAATTCTCTGGGCAAAACAAAAATATAAATCTATAATAACTTTTTAAAATACTTTTGAGTCATGATATGATTTAAAAAGCTTATACATATTGTATTTAAGGTAACGAAATTTTTAAATTTACTTATATCGTATATGTTTTTAAATGCATTATTAAAAATTATGGTCCATTTCAAATTTTAAACTTGTGTTTCAGTCAAATCGGCTGAATTATTTTGTGTTTCTTCAGCTTTTTCAATTCCTACACCCATTGCATTTAAAAGTGTAGAAACAGGTCCAGTACCACCAATTTGTGATTTATAGCTATCCATCATACTCTTTAATGTATTAACATTAATGTCTATTGGTTCAAATGATTCAATATCATCAAAATCATCATCTTTTGAATCTTGTTGCTTGGAAGTATTGAAAGTTTTTCCAACATTTGTATTTGCTAATTCTTTGTCCATTTGTTCTGTGTAATTTTTAAAATATGATTCTAAATTTACTTTCGCGTTGTCATTAACCATATCTTCTAAATTTTTTTCCAAATCATCTTCGTCTTCATAATCACTCATTTCTGAATTCGATTCCCAATTATCTTCGGGTATAACAAAATCCAAAAAATTTTTAATATGTGTTGAAAAAGCATCAGGATCGAAGTTTATTTGATTAGAGTCCCGTTTGTTTGAAGAACTTGAAGAACTTTCTTCAACTTTTTTAGAAGACTTTGGAGATGTATTTTTATTTGAAACATCTTTGTTTTTATCTGTTTCTATTTCAACTCCGTCATATTCTGATCGTTTTTCTAAAAATTCTCCAATATTTTTTGTAAATTCGTTAGCATTAATATTACCATTTGCTTGGTATAATTTTTTGATTCCATATTTGCTAATAAGCATTTCATTAAGCTCCTCGGAAGATATGTTTAGCCAGTCATCACTGTCACTTTTTTTTAAACTATTTTCTTCTTTTTTTAATTGTTCCATTGTGTTCACATCAATATTATTTAGTAATTTCAATATTTTTTGTCCCACGTTTGGTCTAGAGTTAAATTGATCCCTGTTTTCTTTATAAAAACGTTTTGCTTCATTTAGCAAAGATACGTAATCCTGTGAATTTTCTATGAATTCCTTAAAATAACCTTTTCGCTTCAAGTTGTTAATATAGGTTTTCCAATTGCTCTCGTTTTCTATGTCTTCACTGTTGCTTACTTTTTTTCCCTGGGAAGCTAAAATTTCAAATCCAGATGCAATTTTTATTCCTAGCAAATCTTCTTTATACTCTTTGGTACCGGAAGGTGGAAGTTGCCAACCTATTCGTTGATCTGGAACATAATTACAATGACTTAGCATTGCATATAAACATTTCGTAAACCTTATTGAAGTTCTAACGCGATCTTCAGGAGGAAAATAACGCATCGCTTTACATGCCTTCATGTCTAGCGAATCTCTTTCACAAAATGATCTGACACTTGAGGAAATTAGTGAAGGATCTTCTTTAAGTAAGGCTGCAACACCAATAGAAACTCTAACAATTTGGTTATGAAAAAGATTCTTAAATGATTCTTCCTTGAATTCCTTAAATCTTTCTTCTACAGCATTTTGAATTTCTGTTGAAACCTGATACAAAGCTGGATTAGACCAAATTTTGGTAATAGCGACCGATGAAGGGAGAGCAGATTTTGAATTAGAGGGTGAATTTTGAACAACATGAATTTTACCATTGAAGATAAATACCTAAATTTGAATTGAAAAATACATGTACTTAAAGATTATTAAGTTCAAAGAAATTAATATTTCCCGTAATTACCCTTCCTTCACAAGTGTCGGGGCTGGCCCATTTTGGTAAAACATCAGCCGCTTCAATTAACAAAAATTCGCCATCTGAATCAACAACTCTAGCGATAACTCCTGGTACTTTTTTTGTAATTTCAGACAGCAAATACACTATAAACCATTCGTCTTGAATATTTTCACCATAATACGATATTCCATAAAGATGTGGCGGCAGCTTTTCTACAATAATTTTTAGCCAAATCTTTACTTTAATATTCAATACAACATTACAACTAATAAATGTCTTACGTTTGATTTCATCTCCTTCCTGGGTCAACAACAATTGAGCGTTGTCATCTGTACGTATATTCAAACGGAATGAATCTTTGTGCCAAATGTATTCCTGAGAAATTGAATCAGCTATAGAATTGATTTCTTTTAAAATATTATTCAGATAATTTCTAGTATCTTCGGCATCTTTAAATCCATTACTTATTTGTGGAAATAAAAAATATTCCACAAAATCTTCCTCACGCACTAATTCAACCATTTTTTTCAAAATTCTTTGTGTGTGCAACTGCACTGCAGGCTAGATTGATTCACTTCTTGTCTTTATGACTTTTTCTAAATCCATTTATTTTTAAATAAATGTATGTAAAAGAAGCGACATCTATTAGAATTCTTTTACCACAAATGTTAAAGGTCAATGATTTTCCCTTTTGCAGTTCTGATTTTGCTCGTAAGCTGCGTTTATATCGGTGTCATTTACCTGTGTCCGAACGACTTTAACATTTGCAACAATAATAATATTCGTATATTCATGAACATTTTACACAAGCTAACTGAAATAACTGAAATTACGCTTTATAGAATTAAAGCAAATAATTTAAAAGAGCTAAAATCTAACCTAACTCAAATTTTGGATCAGAAAATTTTCTAAATATGTACTTTAACAGCATTTAGCAATATTTATGTAGAGAGAGCCGTAATTAAAAAAATATGAGGAACAAAATTAATTTTAAAACCATATTATTGTTGAATTAATTTTGCTGACATTCGTCAAAAAATATCAATATCATAGCTGCACTCATGACAATCAATCAATCGGCATGAACTCATTTAATGCACAATGGAATAACCTCGAAAACAGCTACCATATGATATGACACTTTGACAGCATAATAGAACAATTGACATATTTGGCCAAGCATATGTTCTTTACATATGCTTGATAAAAGTTTGCAACGCGTTTTTTTTTTTGTACATAATCAAAACAAAACATTGCTGGAAAAAATTTTTTTAAACCCAAGTTAGGAAAATAAAAAAACGAACAAATATGGGAAGTGGAAGTAACAGCTCTCCTCCACCAGACCCAGAATACGGTACAAATTTAAAAATCTTGAATAGCAATCCGCAAGTTGTTGAACTTCAAACGATTATTCGTGATAAGTGAGTTTTTTAAAGGGTAATACTATAAATATTTATTAAAATTATATTTTTTTAGAAACACATCCAGAAGCGATTTTAAATTTTATGCCGACCGGCTTATTCGATTAGTTATTGAAGAAAGTTTAAATCAAGTAAAACTTAGATTGTAAAAACATACTTTTTTTGTTAATTAAAAATTTTTAGTTACCCTATTCGGACTGTTGTGTCGAAACACCAACCGGTGCACTATACGAAGGTTTGAAATACAGGTCTGGAAATTGTGGAGTATCTATTATAAGATCCGGAGAAGCTATGGAACAAGGTTTAAGAGATTGTTGTAGATCCATTCGCATTGGAAAAATTTTAGTCGAATCGGATGCAGATACACATGTAGCACGAGTAGTTTATGCAAGATTTCCAGATGATATAGCAAGGCGACAAGTACTGTTAATGTATCCTATTATGTCAACTGGAAATACAGTTTTACAAGTAAATAGTAAAATAAATAATTGTCAAGTTTTCATTCTTCTATGAAATATTTTAGGCGGTCAATGTACTAAAAGAACATGGAGTTCCAGAGAGTTGTATAATTTTATCTAATCTATTTGCTACACCGTCTGCTGCTAAAACTGTTGTAAGTGCATTTCCACAAATGAAAATATTGACTTCAGAAATCCATCCTATAGCACCGAATCATTTCGGTCAAAAATATTTTGGCACTGATTAAAAGAAAACCCATGTCGATTTCTTCAATTTTTAATTTATATTTTGTTTTTATTATTTAAGCTATATAATTATAATAATTTGTAAAAGTAAGACATTTCAATAAATTTTTTTTGATTAGATTACGACATTTTATAGTTAACAATAGTGTCAACTTTATGCAAGCCTGTAGAAAATGATCTCAACTGAACTGCTTGAGAGTTTTGTATAAATACTGCTTCAGTTTCATTCCATGATTCTGGAATCGTGCAATCTTTCAATGTGTATATAAGAATATCGAACGAACAAATGCAATCTAGAAGCGGTAAATAACTAACTGTTGCAGAAATTTGCCGCATGACATCCCTTATTTCATTCTGGATTCGTTTCAGGTCCTTATTTGATGTAGGATTTGTTGGATCCGAATTTTCTTTTAGTTCAGTAGCATCGGATTGTACTTTAAAGTCCCAACATTCCAAAACTTCTTTGGTATGAACATTTGTTATAATCATGGAAACTTTTTCTAATAAATTTTTGGATAACCACTCTGAAATTTTTTTTAAATTTTATATCAAATTACAAGTTTTGGGAAGTAGGTACGTATATATACGTGTCTTTATATGTATGTATCAATTTCCCAAAGGATTAGATCTATGTATACATTACAAGAAAATTATGTATGTACTACAAATTGTAAAGCTAAATTTCTATAAAAAAAAAAACAGTTTTTTACTATTTATAATTTACCTTGAACTTGACTTAGAACACTTTTTAAAAATTCTTCTATTTTCTTATCCTTAGACATAAATATTGTCAAGCCATATTGTTGGGTGCTGCTAAAACCTTCTGGCGGGTATATTCCTCGTTGAAAAAGAATTGAATTTATTCCAAAATCTTTAAAAATTTATAAATTGATAAAATATTATTTGTTTAAAGATTAACAGCAAACTCACTTAAATATTCTGCTATAATTTGCGAAGAACCTTTCAGAGTTATAGCATTAGAAGTTTTAGTTGCTTGTTGAACCGCTGACATTTTTCTTTTTAAATCAATTTTTTTCAAATTATTAACGTAGTGTTTATTCAATGTCTATTGAATATGTATTATGTTTGTATGTTTATAAACACCAAATAGAAATGGCAACCAGACTCTATTTTCAAACTTTGACATTTCAAAGTTTCTTGACAAATTAAACTTCAAAGTGTGTGTAGGAGAAATTTAGGCTATGGTCACACCCGTAAAATAAGTATACAAGAGGGGTTACACATAAAAATAAGTACGAGAAAAAATTATCTGCAAGAATAGGAACATACGTATTGCATTTAAATTTTGAAATTAAAGGTTCCAGCATGGATTCAAGCAAAAATCTTCGTAGACCGGTTCTATCTAGAATGTTTTATTCAAAAGCTGCAATTAGATATTTCAACTTTTTGTTAAAGGGATATATTTTTTTTAATAATTTATGGACACAAATGTGGTCACAATTTATTTTCCAAGACGCAAAATTGGCATTTTGGAAAAATGTGTTTGTATACATAAATACTTACTTTGTTTCCACTACTTATAATCGGGGAAGACAAAAGGAAAGATTAATAAATATTAATAATAAACGATTGCAGATAAATACATTAAATAAAAAGCGCATTTATTAAATCACAAAACTTAAAAAGATTTAGAATATTTATTCCAAATTTCCCACCGATATGTTTACATAAAATTTTGAAATAAAAAAAAAAAAACTGAAGAAAAAAATTAAATATATATTTCATTTTTGAAATTAACGTCGCCTGCAAATTAATGCGCTATTATCTCTAAATAGGTAGCTTCCTCAAAATTATACAGCAAATTCAAGATGCCTTCACAATAATTAAAAATTTTTTTAATTATCTTGTGAAAGTTATTACATCGAATAGTAGCTAAATCTAGCACTTTTCCCTTATTTTTATAAATTTGCTGTTCTCTTCATTTCATTTATAAAACACATGCTGACTATGCATTGGTCCATATCGTTGTTGTGATAAAATGGTTACTTGGTTTTATGCATTCGCTGACAGATTTTTTTTCTTTTTATGAATTTTTTTATCACTAGGACTGGTAAAATCTTCTAGGATTTGAAACATCTAAATTCATCTTATCACCAAAGTTAACTTGAAAATTGGAATCTTGAGATAACATTCCATCAGCTTGAGATATTTGGGAAAATTCTGAGTGTTGTGACAAATATCCTGGTTGAGTCATATTTTGTTGATTTTGTGTAAGCGGTGTACAATAGCTGTTTGCATTTAGTAAAGATGATTTTTCTTGGCTTTTAACTGAACTTCTTACTGGTTTTTTGCCTTGTTTAACTGCTTGTACCGCTTGATGATGCTTGTTGTAGAACCGAGATGGCATATTACTCATATTCATAAACATACCAACTGGAATAGGCATACTGTTTATAGCTGCTTGTGCTCTTTGTGGAGAAATGAAACTAATTGAGTCATGATGGTTTTTAGCTAGCATATCAAAGTTCATGTTATGATTTTGAGGGTAACTTATGTATGTGTTCTGAAGTCCTCTGCGACATTGGTTGAGAGCGTCGTTATTCTTATCATATAGAGATGCTGGTTGAAGAACTTCTTTGGCATCATAAACCGAGTTCAACATGAAATGAGTTCCTGGATTTAAGGTATTAATAATTTTTTTAGGTTTCTGAAATTGGATCAATGATTCCTTTAAGTTATTTAGTGACCCCTCGACAAGTACATTTCGATCTTTATAGAAGTTTAATAAATGATTCCATAAAGGTTGTTTGGATAAAACTTTGGGATTTCCAACAATAATAATTCCATATTTAGCTCGTGTTAAGGCAACATTTAGACGACGTGGATCATTCAAAAATCCTATACCTTGATGTTCGTTCGATCTTACACATGACATTATAATTATGTCTTTTTCTCTGCCTTGGAAAGCATCGACACTTGCAATTTCAATTTCTTGATATAATTTAGAGTGCAAACTTCCTTGATACTGCATGTATTGGACTAAGTAAGCTCTTTGTCCATCATAGGGTGTAATAATACCGATTTGCTCAGGTTTAATTCCAACTTTTAAGAATTTCGTTGTAATTTTTTCAACATTTGCTGCTTCAGTTCGATTCAGGAACGATGTTCCAGATCCAGCAATTTCCTCTTGACCTTGCGTTACTAGGAAGAACATTGGTCTGTCCTTTTGTGGCCATGGGAAAGCTACTCTCAGTTTTCGATCTTCTGCGCAGACCCCATTTTGCAAGCTACCTTCATAGAAGAAATTTGATGGAAATTGTGACAATTCTGGGTGCATGCGGTATTGTACTTCTAACCTAAAAGGTCGTATTCCCAGGACTACCAACCTTTCAAACAAACTTTGGGAGAGGCCTGCTTTTGCAGCTTTTTTACATCTTACAACTGGCCCTAATTGACAATGATCACCAACTAATATTAATTGTTTGGCCCCTAAAACAATGGGTACCATACATTCAGGTTCGGTAGATTGCATACTTTCATCTATTAAAATTGACGTAAATTTGATTCGATTGATTCTAGGATCACCGGCACCTACACAAGTAGCACATATTACATCTGCAGCATCCAGAAGTTCCCTTTCAGCAGCTTTCTTCAAAGTACGATATCGTTTTTCATCTGCAGAACTTAATTCACCCGTTTCATCTTTAAGTTGTTGGAGCTTGACCAATTCTACATTTGTTTCCATATTTCTTATTTGGTTATGTAATGCCAAAAAACTAACTGGACTATCAATTGCTTCGCGAGATTTTGCACAAACTCTTACCACCTTTAAGTTAGTCCTATGAATTTTCTCGGTCAACTGATCTACGGCCGTATTACTTGGAGCACAAACAAGAACAGTTCCACCACTCATTTTTACAAGTTGGTAAACAATTGTTGCGGAGGTAACAGTCTTTCCTGTACCGGGAGGGCCTTGAATCAAACTCAGTGGTCTTTGAATTGCATGTTTTACAGCATATATTTGCGATCTGTTCAAGTCAGGTAAGTTTGGAGCACTAAAATGTTTTGGAATATTTCCTCTAAATGTTACTTCATCGGCTCCATCATGGCGACCATGACCAAGTAATTTTGAGTATATAAAATTAGAAACGCAATTATCATCGACTGCAAATTTCCTCAATGCCATTTGCATTCGATCAAATGCTGTGCTTTTCCAAATAAAATCGACGGCAAAATTTGATGTACATTCAATTGGTACTTGTTGGCTAATTTTTAATTCAAGACCAATATCTTCGCCATAGTTGTCAGGAATTTTTATAACTTGACCTAAACTACTCCAAGGTTTATGTAATTCTCCGGCATAACGAAGATTAAGTTCATCTCCATGCATTAATTTCATGTCACCGTCTGTTTTTGGCAAAGTAAAATATGCAATTATTTTTTTGTTTAAACCAACATCCCACCGCACTTCTATGTTTTCTTGCGTTTGGGATTCTTTTAATTTTTTGTCATATTCAGCTTCAAGACCCACTAGGGGTCCAAATGTCTTCTGGTATTGATACCCATCTTCGTAACGTAATAAAACTTGAGAAGGGTTTTTGTCAATACCTGGTTTTTCCAAATCTTGAAATGTTGCTTCAATATTTTCCTTCCAAAGCTCTTCCAGTTTATTTATTTGTGCGGCAGATATTTGTCGAGCTCGTAATTGTTCTTGTTCTGTTGGTATTTTTACAAGCCACGGCAGAAAGGATCGGTCTGAAATTAAGGGTTTCCATTGGTCTTGTTCCCAGTTCATATCTTTAAGTGAATTTTGCGCAGCACATGGTTGTCTGCATAAAAGTACAACAACAGAATCTGCTTTTGCGGGTATAAAGCCAAGAACAAAAACGTTGCGAACGCCACAGGAATAACATTCTAAAATGGTTTCCCCTAAAGGGCCATCAGCATGTAAGGTGACTTCACGATGTTTCGCACGTACTAAATGATTAACAACGTGAGAAGCTGATGTCCCCCCACGTCCGTTACAAAACCACTTTTTACAAATATTACACATGACTACTGTTCCAGGATCATTAATACCACAATATTTACAAGCATGTGCAGGTAATTCTTGAACAAGTTGTGTTTCATCCTCTTCCTCCTCAAATTGAAGATCATTGTCTTCCGGTGGGACTAAAGCTTTATTCTCATTTAATGAACTTCTAATCAATTTAAAATCCGTCATTTTACCAGAGTCATTTAAATTATCTTGAGTTTGTCCTTGTGATGGTTGTGTAAAATCTTGAAAATCGAATTGAGAAGCTTGAGTATCTGCCATTATATCCTCATCTTCAAGGAATGTTAAAGCTGCATCAACGGAATATGTATCGGTACTCATTTTTAATTTTTTATTTAGTCGTAATTAAAATTAAGAAAATAAAGAAAAATTGCGGGTATTAACATGAATTCACAACTGACGTAGAAAATTTGATAAGCTCCGTTTTGACAATTAAGTATTAAGCTAGCAACGTGGAGAATATGTTTATTTTGTTACAAATTGTACTAAAAGAGTACTATTTATTTTGACACAATAATGTTAAATAAAAATGCGTTCATAGTGTTTCGTTGTTGAAATGGGAAAGTGAATAAGTAAAAAATTAATAACTCATTATTATTATTTTACGTATTAATACTCTACATAGTGTAATTAATTTTGAGTCAAATCTTTTATTTAACAATAAAAAATACGTTCAATGAAATGTCAAAAATATAAATCAAATCATTTAAAATCATGTCTGCATTTCTTTTGCATTTGACTACATCATTTAAAAAAAATGCTAAGCTACTACTCTTCTTGCACAGTTTTACTTATGACATCTTTAAATGATTAAGTTCATGAACATGGAAACCTATTTGGTGATAGCGTATTTATTTCTTGCGTGGTAATCAGAAAAACTCAAATTAAAAAACTTGCACTTTTTTGTATTACCTTTTTCCACATTGACGGGTCTATGTCAAAATGAAGATCAAAATTATTCAAAAAATATATTTAAATAATTTTAGTAACTACGTAATTTTAAGTATTGTAGTAGTAATATTGTATTAATTTCTAAAATATGTACTTGTCTAAAATTAGAAAGCATGTGTGTGTTTAGTTTTAAGTTTTTTAATTTTCCTAACATGTTTAAGAAACAGAGGTTTTCTTCATAGGCACCTAATATTTTTGACGTCATAATGAAAAGGAAAAGTTCAGTATATTGTTCAATATTCAAGATTAAAAGGCAAATCTAATCAAGTCTTTTAATTAGCTTGTAAGTTTTCTTCTATTTTAAAAGGAATTATTCAATATTTGAGATTTGAGAAAATACATTCAATTTTAATATCAATTGAAAAGGTATGCAGCAAAGGATTGAAGGGTTCGTAATATTTCCAAACTTGAAGTAAGTTTTATTAGAGAATATGAATTAAATATTTATATGTACATACATATGTAAAATAAATATAATATGTATGAATATAATATTCGTAAACAGAAGTAATAAAGTTTTTACTCAGTTACAATTACTTGCAGGCTCTTAAAAAAATGATAACCATTTCATTTTTTATTTTTATTTTAGGTAGAATGCTCAATAACGAATCACCACAAGGAATATATGCTCCTTTGAGGTAATTAACCTACATAGTGTACATACATACCTTAATACATACATATATAGATGTATATTATGTATTGTGTGTATATTTTGCAAGAGAATTAATGTTATTAAATTAATTTTATTTTAAAGCAGCCAGGGTATGACAGATTCTGAAAGTGAGGAAGAAATTCATAATTCTGCACATCATAATTTACCACAGCATCATTTACGCTATCAGCAACAACAAATATCACAACAATTTCAACAGCAGCAACAATTAAATCAGAGAACTTTACAAGTTAATATTTCTCCTTTACAACACTCTGACTATCACCCTTGTTTGAGGATGGGAGAGTTTCATAATCAAAATTTTACTAGTTTTAATTCAGACGGCGAAGAAAGAAATCAAACAGATGCCGACAATGTGGCTATTCTTGGTTCAAACGATAAAAATTCTCCAATGAGTCCCATTCGAAAAACATGCTTTATTTTATCACTTATACTTTGTTTTGGTACAGTTATCGTATTTTTGTGGGTTATACCATGCGATGAAAATGGAACTTGTCCTGCTCAAGTGGATCGTATAAAAACACATAACTGGCGTAATGCGTACGACAAATTTGAATTAAAAGGGATGGTTAATGTAGTTAATGGATTACGAAGTTGGGAGCGGAATTTAATTTTCATGTACAGATCAGACAAATTTTTCGCAGAATTCCAAACAAATAATCATAAAAGAAACGGAATAGTCTCTTTAATAGGAAATTCTGGGAAAATCTCTTGGTATCACGAAATGGAAAATGAGCCTGTTGCTATAGATTGCACTTTGATTGATATAAATCGTAGTGGAAAACCTGATTGTTTAGTATTAGATGAATATGGTCAGCTTGGTGCATTTGATCCTGTATGGGGATTTTGGTTATGGAATTTCCGGGATAATGGAACAAAAAAAGTTGATGTCTTAGATTTCCCGGTGATTTTACCGGATTTAGATGGAGACAAAGTTTTTGATTTACTATTTGCAACAACTAATAAGGAAGATGGAAAGCGTAATTTACTTCGCATTATATCAGGTAGAACTTTTTTAAATTGTATTTGTATAGTTTAAATTTATTGTGTACATATGTATTTTTAGGAAGGGTTGGCGCTCCTTTTGGAGAGGGACATAAAATATCTGATTGTATGCATATTAGAAAATTTCACTTAGAAGACAAATCTATCGTATCATTTAATTGTATTAATAATGGGACTGAGCAGCAGCGTTCAAAGTCTGTACTGAAATTATATTCAATGTTAACTAATAAACAACTGAAAAATATAACAAAAGAACAGTCCATTTCACAGCATAAGTTGTATGGTCAGCGAAAAGATACGGAAGCACAGAGAAATATCTATACTATCAAAAACAAAGAATTGGTTATAGAAAATCGGGGCAAATGTCCAGATGATTGTAATATGACAGTAACTTGGAGCGAAAAAAATGGAAAAAACCATGTGATAGGTTTTATTAATGGATCCAGAATGTATGGAATGGTTCCAGCTCATTGGTCTTTTAAAGGTGTTAATGGAAATCCAGAACTTTGCGGTTTTGTTATGAAGTTTTGGGAATGGAGTCAACATAATCCAAATCATTCTAAATACTTAAATGAAGCACCGCCTTATCAAACTCGCCAAAAACGAAACGAAAATTATCAACAAAATTCATATGATAATTATGCTGATGAATATAATATATTTGATCATTTGATAGACAAACGTTCAACCTACAATTTGCCATCAGAAAATAGTAGAACTGAACGTAGTATAGCAAATACAACTAAACAAAAAACAAACGTATATCTTAATTATAAAATGCGTCTGGTAAAAGAAAAAGTTGTATTAATTGTGTTCAATTCAGCTGATACTAGAATTGAAAATGTTAGTCAAAGTAACATTGTACAATTTTGTCGAAATGAGAAATTAGAAATTATTTGTCAGCCGGATTTGAATAATCAAGAAAATTCTTTAGTAATCGCAGATCTCGATCAAGATGGAAGTCAAGAACTGGTATCGTATTATACCACTTTTACTAATAAGGAAGCTGAAAATGGGAAAAACTGGAAACTTAAAACATATGTTACATTATTGAGACTTGAATCCGAATTACCAACACTTTATGAAGATTTTAAGCGTCATTGAAAAAAGTTGTTCATTTTGTGATTTATTTTAAAAACTGATTTTATTTTAAAATTAATTGAACTTTATAAGTAATTTAAATTTAGAAAAGTACTTATATATACATACTTATATGTATATGTATATATGAAACACGATGCTAGTCAGATAATATAATGAATATAAGCACTTAAGAAATCATACATACATATGTATATTGGATAGCATGTACATGTGTGTAAAATAATTTAGAATAAATAAAATTTATTACTTATAAGAATTAAAATTTTGCTTTTATTTAAACGTTTAAACGTCCATAGAGGTTTTTAAGGGAAATTTACTATATTGATTAAAACTTCTAATTACAGCTATGGAAATGGTTTTATTTGTTAATCAAATTAATATATATTTTTTTTTATTTCTATCTAAATAAATATATTTACAAAAATCATTAAACTTAATGAAAAATTTTGTTTTTAACTGTGTTAAACTATTATGGTACAATTTATCTTATTACTTATATAATATACTCTTTTAATAGTAATGAAATAATTTTTGAAAATATTTTCATATTTTTTTTGTTTTTGTAATTATTAATTTATTATTTATAATATTATTAATTAAAGAAGAATTTTTTTAATTTTTATATTGGTTACCAAATATAATGAATACTCACAACTTTTTAAGTTAGTTTTTTAATAATTATTATAAGTTAAAAATAATTATTTTTAATTTTATTATTTCTAGATTTTATCATGTAAGATATAAAAATAAAAAATATATTAAACATTTTCAAGTTTAAATTATAAATCATTAAAATGAATATTTATTTTTCGTTACATTAATGTAATAATTAATCATTTTAAATAAAAATCAAATCGCATTATTCAAAAGACAGCCAGTTATTTTAGAAAACAAGGCAATTTTCGTCAATTCTTGAAATAAAAGTTTTATCATTATTTATAATAATAAAAAAAAAATTCAAATTTAATTTAAATTAATCATTGGAATTAAGTAAACAAATTTCTTTTAGTTTTATTTTAAAAATCTGCTTACGAATTAGTTGAATTTAAATATTAATGTGCTTAGAATTTATTTAGAAAAAGTATTAGGTTGACTCAGAACTTTTAATTTTTCACTGTTTAAAAATTTCATATTATGTATAATGTATATTTAAAAAATACTTGGATATAGCTTTAAATTTTTACACTAAAAATTTTATTTAATTGTTAAAAAAGTGTGTGTATATTTTTATTGATTTTAGACGAAAATTTTTCTATATTTTAAATTCATTCATTTATCAAAAGTAAGAAACACTTTCAAATAAATTTTTCTTAAGGAATTTAAATACTAATTTTATTAATTTAAAAAAAAAATTAATTTATTCCTATTTTATTTTTCGGTAAACATACATATTATCTTTAATTTATATTTGCATAAGAGTTTAATTTAATATTTTTTCATAAAGTTAATTTACATTCATGTATTTAAAAAGTTACTCTTAACATTTTATATAATTTATATAAAATAATGTAAATTCTATATTTTGATATCTATAATCAATTTAATTTTTGTTTTGTAATTATTTGCTCAAATATTTATTTTTTATATTTTTAGTTTTATATCAGATTTTATTATGCATTAATCAAAATTTGTGCTGTCGTGAAAGAATATTTTTTTTTCTTTATTTATCGTCAAAGATCCTAAAATTGCTGTATCATCGGCTAAATATCCTGGATTATATGGTGTTGGAACTGGAAAAGGGGAAGAAAAAATGAAATGGAATTAGATATAATATTAGAATTTTACTAAAAATAAAAATTTATTTAAAATTATAAAGTATATAAAAATTATAACAACTAAAAGAAAAACAAAACATTAAATGTTAGTAAATGAGAACAAATATGTAAATAATAATAACAAACTAAAAATTACACTATTTTAGTGTTAGTTTATTTTTTATTATTACGTGTTATATTATTTTTTTAAAAATATATTAAGAATGTGATTATTATAGAGTACAAATTAAAAAAAAAATTCTTTTACATTATATAAAAATTTTATATTATATTTTAAAATTAATTCAAAACCCAAATAATTTCTAAGATATTTGAACAAACAAAATATTAAAGTTAAAAACAAAAAATTGAAATATTTATGAAAATGTTGTATTTAGTGTGAATTAATGATAATCAATTTATTCATAAATGTTTGTTTCTTTGATGGTATTTATTAATATTAAATGAATTATTTGACGAAAATCAGAAAATTTAGTCTCAATTATTATTTCGGATATAAGTACGATAAATTATGAAAAATCTAAATTCAAGATTTTTTATTTAAAGATGAAAATTTTACAAGATGTTAAACAGATTTAAAAAAAATAGTTGTATTCACTTTAAGTGTAACATTATTTTTTCTTGTACTCCAAATTAGATAAATAATTAGTTATAAATTTTTTGAATGGAAATTGAAATATTTTAAATGGAACTAATAATTTTTTAAAATTATAATTTTTAACAGGATCAAACAAATTTTTTAAAACATATATAATTATTCAATAGGAAAATGAAGTTCAAGTATGTCTTCGAAAAATCTGATATTTCGTCAATAATACATATTTATTTTGTATAATCTTTGATTCTTAATGAATTTTAGTTTATGAAATGGTTTTGATTATAAATTGGTGTAACCAAATTGAATTAATTAATTAATGTTGATTAAAATATGTAACAAATATAAAATTAAAAATTAAAATAAAATTAAAATATTATTATTAAATATTGTAATTTATATTTATATATTTTTTTATTTCGAAAAGTATTCTTTATATAATATTGTATTCAAAATTTTATTCATAATTATTTCTTATTTATTTAAGTTGAATTTTTATTTTTCAAAAATTTCTTTTCTTAAATGTTTTGTTTTTTTTTTTTTTTTTTTAACTTTATTATTTATTAATTTTATATAGCTAAATTATTATTAATGTTATTATTTGTGCTTTAAAATCAGTGTAAAAAATTATTTAAGATTTTGCATAAAAAATACCTTTATATAATATGTAGAAACAACTTTATTTTTATTTATTTTTATTTCATATTTAAATTTAATATTTAAATTGTTCAAAATTGATTAGGAAAAGAAAAAAAGATTTTTAATTTAATTTAATTAATTACATTAATATAAATAATATTTATATTTATTGCAACAATATTAAAACTTTTATTTTTTTTTTTAATTTATGTAACATTTACAAATTAATTGTTAATGAAAATATTATATAAAAACAAAATTGTTTAAAAAATTATTTTAGAATATTAAGTGATAAAAAATTTGTGAAAAATTTTACTAAAAAAAGAAAATTATTATTAATCAAATCATATTTAATTATAAATTGTTATGGTATTTATTAAAATTATATTAATTGTCATTATAAAAATCCAAAAGAAAAAAAAAAAAGAAAATTTTTTAAATTATTATCGTCGCGTTTACAAAATGATTGATTAATTTTTTTTATTAAAATTTTTGTTGATTTTGGATAATTGGATTTTTATTATGATATACAGACATTTATATGTTTTCATATATTATTTTATGCAAATTATGTATATAAATTTAATATTTTTTTTAAAAATATATACATATTAAGCATATTATATAAAATTAATGTTACAACAGTTATTAGTAAATAAGTACATAAAAAACAAGCCATACATAAAATTTAAAATCACATTTTAGGAAAATACTTTTTAAGAATATATGTATAAATATAATAATATACTAATTATGTATAAATTTTAATTATAATTTTGTTTTATTTTTTTTTTTTACGATAATTTCTAATTCTTACCTCAGTGTATTTTTTTTTTTGTTTCAAAATTTAGAAAATATAATCAAAGTTATCCAATTGTTTTTTTTTTTATATTTTTTTTAAATTTTGCTAAATATCCCTTCAATCAAAGCATTAAATATTTATCCATTTGTGGAATGATTATAAATGTAATAGTAAATTCATAAAACTAAAAATTTTTCCAGATTTTTAATGTTAAAAAAAAAAAAAATGAAAAATTTCGAAATTATAAATAATTATACGGGTACCAGAAAATAAAATTTTTTTGCTATACAAAAATTAAATAAATTTGTTCATAATTTATTTTAATAATATTTCAATTTTTTTTTTTTTCAAATTTCAATATTTATATTAATAAAAAATTTTATTTTTTTTGGTACATAATTTTAACATTTTAATGATAGTTTAACTAATTTTAAATAGTTTTATGTTTTCTTGACAAAAATATGAAACAACATAAGATTTTAATTAATTAATTTTTGTTAATTAAGTACATAATATAGTTAACTTTCTTATTACTTAACAAAACAATTGAAATTTTCAGAAAAACATAAAAAATTTAGAATAATTTTTTTTTAAGAAAAAAAATAAATATTCTATACAATAATTTTATTTGGTTGTTTTAAGCAATCATTGTATAATATACTTGTATTTTAATTTTTTATATAATATATATAATTGAATTAAATAATTCATCAATTATTTAAATTCAATTATAAAAAAATTATAAGCAAAAATTAAATTTCATATACATAGAATTTCCTTTTTACAAAATCTTGATTTTATTTGGAAATTAAAAAATATATAGTTAAAATTAATAAATTTATAACAAAATAAGTATTTTAAAATTTTGAAAATATAATATTGTAATTTTTAATTTTTGAAGAATACGAGTAATAATTTAAATTTAAAAGAATAATTAAATCACACAAATATAAATATACATTTAATTTTTTATTTTTATTTTATTATTTTAAATACAAGATTTTGCTAACATAAACATAATATACCTAAATTTATTTAATTAATTTTTGAAATAACATTAGGATAATTAATTAATAAATAATTAAATAAAAATAAAAATATTAAAATAAAAGTTTTTTAAACTAAAATTTAAAATTTAATTGAACATTAGATTTTTTATATGTATTGTTTCAAAAATTACCTAAAATTAAGAAAAAAGAACAATAAAAATAATAAATAATTTTTTTTTTTATGGAAATTTAATTCCATATTAATGTATTCGAAATAAATAAAAATAAAGTGTGTTTTTTATTGCAAATTTTTTATTTAAGTTTTTTTTTTTTCATTTTATTTTAAATACAATATTTTTGGCTTAAAAAGTGTTTGATTTTAAACTTTTTTTTTTGTTTTATTATTAAGTTAATAATGATGTATTTTTATAAAAATGTTTTGGTACTTTTTATATATATATATATATATATATATATTGTTATAATATTATAAAATAAATAATTTAATTTTTAAGAAATTTTATTTTATTTCATTTTAATGTTGTTATTATAATTATTATTTATTAATAAATTGCTTTTCAAAATTTGTTAGTTTTTATTTACAAAAAAAAAAAAATATATGTATATATTTAATTACTGGTATTTTTAAAATATTTTCTTGAATAAAAAAAAAATATAAAATTCTATTATTAAATTTCTCTGTAATTTTTAATCGTTTTTATATTTTTTCTGTAATTCTTATTTTGTTTTTTAATTAATAATAAAATATTTATTAATAATTTAAATAATATTAAAGTCGAATTGAATAAAATTAAAGCCAATATTAATTTCTGTCAATATAGGATAATTTATTACTTTCTAATAACATTCAAAATATTCAAGTTAAAAGTAAGAAAAAAAAAATATTTCAACAATTTTATTTTTTAATTCTTCATTTAAGTAGATTGTTTTTTTTTTTAAATAAAGTTCGTACTAAATTTTAAAATTCATAATTAAATATTTTTTTAAATATACGTGTTACAAAAAAAAAAAAACAATAAATTTTTTTAATATTTTTATTTCTTTTTTTGATATTTTATTCGATAGTCATTTAAAATTATTTATAATAAAAAATTGTAAAATACTGCAATAATTTTTTTTTTAATTATTAATTTTAATTAATTTTTAATCAGTTTTATTTAAAATATTTATTAATTTTGTTTTTGTGTGTTCATTTTTCTTTTTGAATTCGAAAAAAAAAAAAAATAATTAATTTATAAATCTTTTGTTAAAAGTAAAAATATAGGAAAAAAGAACAGTTTTCATATTTTAATTTTAAAATTTAAAATTGAAAAATAAAAATGTATTTATTAATGAAAATGTATTGAATGTTTTTACCCATTTTATTTTCTTTATATATGTATGTACTTTAACATTAAATGTCTAATAAATAAATGTTTAATATTTTACGATATAAAAATTAATATAAAAAATTTAATATAAAAAATTTAATATAAAAATTGTTATGACATTTATAAAAAATAAAAAAAAAATTGTCATCTTTGTCATGTTTTATTTTTATATTTTCTAAATATTTCGTGAATTAAAACTTTATTATTAAAATTTAGATGTTTAATTTTAAATTTAATGTTTTCTAAAATATTAATATAATAAATATGTTGATTAAGTATATTTGTCATAAGAATAAATAAGACAAATATGAAATTTTGAAATTAATAAAAAAATTTATTTCGTTAAAAATTTTTTTAAAATTGCTTGATTCATTTGCATTTATGGAGTCCTTTATTTGTAATAAATGAAATTTTTTTAATGAAATAATTTTCTTATGAAATGTGTAAACTGTATATTGTTTTAAAAATTATTTTTAAGAACAAAATTTATATAATAAGACAATTTTATTTGGTAGTTATTGCGGAGATCAAAAATATTTTGAAAAAGAAAAAGAAAATTTCTGGTAAATGAAAGAATAAAAAAAGATATGAACAACAAAATATGACAATAAAAATTATTTATTATTTATAATTAATAAAAGTTTTTTTTTTTTTTAATATAATATATAAAATATAATACAAAAAAAAAATTTCATTAAAAAAAATATAATATTAATGTTAAACATTTTGTTAATTAATTTTTTTTCGTTTTTATTTTATGTTTTATCTTTCCATTTAAATATTTAATTACTACAGATTTTTTTTTGTTTTTAAAGATTCATTTGATTTTATATAAATAAATAATAAAGAATTAATAATTTTTTTCTTTTTAGTTAATAATAGTTTTATTTTTCTGTTTTTTTTTTTTTGTTTTTAGTTTGTTGATTTTAAAATTTCTATTTCATTTAAATTATTAGGTAAGTGTAAAAAAAAAATTATTTAAAAAATAATTTTTAAACTTGCAAAATTTTTTTTTGTCTTGATTTATTGGTACATTAATAAATAATATATATATATATATACATGTATATATTAATTATATATTATATAGTTTTTATTTTAAAATTATATACAGCTTACAAGTACAAAAATTTAATAAAAATTTAATTAAATTTTAAAATAAACATGAAATATACCTTATTATTTTTTTATTTATTTTTATATTTATTTGTTATTTTTTTTTTTTTTGTTTTATTTTTAGAATATACCAATTTTTTCAGTGCATTTAAAATGGTTATGTGGATGTATCGTTAAAGTATATATTAATAATGAATTCATAGTCAAATCCAGAATTAGAATGGAAATTTAATTTGAGCAGCATTGAATTTTTAGAATGTGTTGAAATTTTAATTGAAAAGTTGCAAGTAGACTAGTGTTATTAAAAGAAAAATTCAAACAAATCAATCTGAATCAAAATATAACCTTGTATAATATATATTTTAATTGTTAATAGCTAAAATTGTATAAATTTATAATAAATTTATAATAAAATTATGTAATTAGAATTTGAAACAAATTTTTGGAACTCACTAATTATAGAATTTAAGTGAAGTATTCATTTTGTATGAGCTTAATGTTTTCAATAAAATTTGAAATTATTTATTTGTTTTTAAAATTTATTATGAAAATATGAGATTTTAATTTGTATATTGAATAATTAAGAAATAATTATAGAATTATAATAACAATAACGATTTTCACTATAACCATTTTGATTTTCTTTTTAATTAAATTTTTTGTTTTTTTTTTTTTTAAATTATAATCAATTATTTTTCGCATATTATTTTTTTTTTGTATGTTTTGTGTGTGTGTTTCAATTCGCGTTTATTTTACTTAATAATAATAAATAAATAATATAAATAGAAATTAAAATGAAAAGAAAAAGAAAATAATGCAAAAGATCATTTTAAAATAAAATAAAATTTTTATTTTAATATTTTTTATATAATATTATATTTATACTTATATATTCTAGTTCTAATTAAATTCAAAATAAAAAATAAATTATTAAAAAGAAAGGGATAATTAAAAACGGATTTTTTTTTCTTTAATTTAATATTCATATATAATTATATATTTATCTCATATATTATAATTTAATATTATTATAATGGAAGTATATAAATATATAATTATTTAATAAAGAGAAAAGCATAAATAAATATTAATAAAAAAATTTATATATAAAATAAAAACAAATAATGATCTTTATTGTATTATTTTCTTTTATTTAATTATTATTATTAATGCAAACTTTTCTTATACATAAAAATAATGTAAAAAGAAGAAAAATATATTAGGATGTTTTTATCGAAAAAGTTTAACATTTTTCTATAGCACCTCTATTTTTGTTTTTTTTTTTTTGATAATAAAAATAAATTAATAACAAAAAATTTTATACACAAGTATTATATTTTTTATAAAAGTATATTTATATAAATATTTTTGTTTTTTTATAATTTTTAAAATATTTTTTAATGTATGGAATGTTTTTAATTGAAAAAAATTGATGATGTAAAAATAATTAATATTATAAAAAAAAATGAAAGAAACAATCGATGAAAATTAAAACAATTTTATTTTTTAATTAGATTTCTAATACCTATATATGTATGTATATATAGTAAGTGTATATTGTTATTACTTTTTTGTGTACATATAATTATTAAAAAAAAGGAAATTAAATATTGAATTAGGGTTTTTTTTTTAATAACAATATAATTGTTTACTTATTAAGTACACTTGTACCATAATTTTATTTTACGATTTACTGCACATTATAAAATTTGTAATATGGTTACTAAAATTTAAAGTTTATTGAAGAAATATTGTTATAAAATAAAATTTAACCATAAAATCAGATTAAATATGTATAAAAAGAAATTATTTGATCTTATTTCAATTTAATGTATTTTTTTTAGACCCTATATAAATATAGAATAAAATTAATTAAAAATAAATAATTTCATAATTGAAAATGTAAGTAAAAAGTAAATATGATGTAAACAATAATGTAAACTTTTACATGAGAATTTTAAGGGTCTAATTTTTTCAAATTAATTATATAATAAGATTAGTTGAGAATATTAATACATTTATATTTAATTTTGTTCTTTATCTTGAAATTTATTGAAAAGAAAAAATAGTTTGAAGATTTTATATTCCTTGCTTGAATTATCTTTGGTATATAACTAAAATTATATACATTAGGTCGTGCCAATTGATCGATTAATTAATGTTAACAATAAATTTTTAATATTGTATAACACATAAGGAAATTTAAAGTTTTAAAATAAATTTAAAGTAAATAATATTGTAATAATTTAAAGTATATAACAAGAAGTATTTTTCAATATGTATAAGGAATATTCGGGTTATAAATCAGGAAGTTTTCAAGTAAATAGAAATATTTTTTTTTATATACGAGTGTATATATAATAAATGTGAATTATTTATTAATTTCATTATGTAATATTTCATATAATAGCGATATGTAGTTTATAGTGCTATATACAGAAAATTATTTTTGTAATTATGTATTTAATTATTTTATATTAAAATATTTTTTGAAGAGCGCTAACAGTTCTTTGTGTAATTACAAAAATTATCTTTTGTATAGCTCTATTAACTGTTATACACAACGGCATAATTCACTTAATTATAAAATTTTTATAATTTTTAAATTTCATAATTAATATTTTCCATTTTAATTGATCGTTTTTGTTGCTGATTCAATTTGTATTTGTGTGAAATTTTTTGCATGATTTTAATTTAAATTACACAGTATGGTTAAAACCATATTGAAAACAAGTGTAAATATTTCTATTTAATAGTATAATTATAATCTCATCATTTAAATTTTTTAATCTTTCAAAAATAATTAAAGAAAATCTTGTATTGTAAATTCCTTTTATACATATATACATACATATTATAATATTATAATTAATACATTTTATATAAAAAATATTTTGATTATAATAAATATAAAAGCAAAAATGCAATTTAGTAATATGTATATATATATATATATATATATATTATGTAGATTATTTTGATGCTATAGAAAAATAACTTTTAACAATAAAAACTTCCTAAGTATTTTTCATCGTCACATTCTGGTTTATTGTTGTACGTACTAGGTGTTTCATTCCATTGTTTCTCTTGACATCTATCACCGTAAAAGCCATCAGGACATCTTAAAAATAAAATATTTAAATTAAAAAATATTAATCATTAAATTAAAATATAAATGTTTAATATTATGAATAATATTATAACAGTTTTGAAGTATAAACATTTTATGTTTACAGGTTAAGAAAAACTATGTTTCTGTCAAAATTTCAGCAAATTCGGTACATCTGCTCTTAATTGCTCTAAATTTTTCAGTATGGTCATTGAATAATTTTATAAGAAAATTTAAACTATGAACTTATTTATTTGATATTATTGTGTAAATAAGGAATTTCTAAACTAATTTTAACAATTTTCAACAGAATTATATAAAAATTATTATTAAAAATTGACAAAAAAAATGAGGTTATTTATCCGAGAATAAATTGTCAGAGAATTTAATTTATTATTTTATAATGTTAATCCTTAAAATAATATAGTTTAATTGGATATGTTATACATATGTAATATTTATCTAGAATTTTCATTTAATCTTATTTATGCCCAAGTTTTTCGTATTATTTTGCCTTTTTTACTTAAACTTTCATAAAGTGCATATTTTATTATTTATGTAACATACTGAAGTTATATAGATTTACAAATGTCATACATATGACATATATATAATTTAGATATACAAAATGTTTAATTTTATATTTTTGTTTATAGTAAAGTATATAAGTATACATATATAAATTTATTTGAAAAACAACAAAATATTAAAACCAATGAACTTAAAATTAAAACGGCGGTTGCGGCCGGCGCCATTATTTATTTTTATGCATATATGTATGTATATATGTATGTAAGTACTTATAAATGGAATAATTGTAAACATATATGTATGCATGTATATATGTTACAATATTATAGTATGAATCCGTATTATAAGTATACTTTGTACTTAAAAAAATAAGGCATAAACAAATAATAAGAAAATTTTGGTTTTTATTTTTTAATTTTGTATAATATAAATACAATTTTACCTCATTTTTCAAAAAAATAAAAAAATAAAAAAAATGAAATTCAAAATTTTGAAATAGCAGAAAATATTTGGAGCAATATCTTTAATCTTACTAATTATAAGGTATTTTGTGTTGTAGTTGAAATTCATAAATTTTATGGAAATTGCAACTTTACTATTATGTTACTTTGATTTATTAAATTGTCATGCCTCTCTTAGGAAATTTAGGTTATTCGCACGCATTATTTGTTCAAGATATTTTACAATCATCATTTAAGGGCATTTGGTAGAAAATTCATTTAAATAATTATGATATTGTATGATTTAGTACTAGCTTAAGTTCGATAAATCTAACCTGTAAAGTCTGCATAAATAACATGTTCGAAAATTATAGTTGTGCTTGAAATTCTAAAGGATATTTTTAAAACAGTTGTTTATAACCTGTTTTATATTATTGGTAATTTTCATTAATTTTATAAATAAACACAATTAGAAACGAAAAAACAATAAAATTATAAGCCATTTTATGAAATATTTTATTTTTGGTTCATAATGCATGTTCCTAGAGTAATCACTTTTTTTTTCATGAATCGAAATATGAACATAATATAATATTTAAGTGTTTTTTAACATTTTGTTTCTTCATATTTTGTTTTCTTTAACATAAGGTTTGCTTTTTCTTTTTCTAAACAAAAAATCAAAACCAGGAGAAATAAACATGCAGTACGAAAAATATATTTTAAATTCTGACTGAATATAGGTACATATTTGAAGAAAGCTGAAATATATAGAGACTGATATATGTATATACATATATAATTGTAGAAGATGTTGTATTTCGGAAAAAAAATAATCTATTTTAAGATTTCATTTTTCACTTTGATGATGGTATTTTGTAAAAAAAAAAAAATTTTTTTACAAAGTATTCTAGATGACAGGAATTAAGATTAAGTGGGATTAAAAACATAATGCAGCTATTCTAATATAAGATTGACATTTTTTTTATACGTGACATTTTCTTTTAATATGTTATTTAAGGTAATTTTTGGAATTATATTATAATTTAATTAAGCAATTATAATTAATTAAATTTATTAATTAAAATGTATAATATTCTTTTGTTAGAATCGTCATGAAAAATTTTCAAGATGAGTGGCGATTTGTCAACGATCAGTTAAATTGTCAGTCCAAGAATTCACAATAGAAATGTCATTCATAGATGCAATCAATTGAAGTTTATATAGTCTTTTATTACCATGATAAAATTCTTGCTTCTTTTCCCAATAAGTAGAAAAAGAACAATATTATTTAATTTCTTATTCATTGACAAATATTTTTTATTTGAGCAATAATTGAAATAAAATAATTATTATTATAAAATTGAGATGAATATTTTGGGTTTGACGTTTTCTTCGAAAATAAAATGTGGTGTTTTGTTTTTTTTTATATATTGCAATCGTATGTATTGCATTGTGTATGTATGTATATGAAACAGGGCCTACAGAAATTTCTCTATCTTAAATCTTTTATAAAAATTTCATCGACATAATTAATTACAATCAACAAAATTATTTATTGAATCCATGTTACACTTGAATCAAATCAGCGCATGTAGATCATATGAAAAGCTTCTGTTGAAGAAAAGTGATAGTAAAATACAATTTTTAATTTTTTAAAATTTTAATTTTATCCGCTTGATAATTAAAAAAAAAATTTTCCTACGTATGTATGAAAATATCAAAAAAAAAAAAAAAACGAATACAAAATTTCAGAATAATGTGAAAAGTGAAACGAATTGTGTGTATTATAATTTTTATTACAAGTTCTAATAAGAATAAAAATAAAAGCAAAAGAAAAAGAGCATTAATATAATAAAAATATAATTTATGGGTTTTGTCTAGTGATTAAATGAGAAAATTAAAAACAAAAAATATATGTATGTATGTATAGTATATTAAATATGTATTTACATATGTATATATATTTGTGATATGTTCGTATGTGTGTTTGAGAAAATTTTTGAGGAAAATCAAATCTTACAACTATAAAAAGATAAGGGTGTATTGTATTTATGTTTCAAATTTTTTTTTTTAAATTATTATCATGTACTGCCAAATTGATATTTATAAGGACAAGAAAAGTGTGACTAGAAAAAAATCTATTTTGTATATATATGTATGTATATTATACATTATTATACGCAATACAAATGTAGTTTTTGGAAGATTAGACCAGAATCGATTCAAAAATATTATAGGGTTAGGCAAAAATCAGGTGAGAATCTTTACCGGTATATTGGGAGGGCATTGCAGGTTTAAAGATTAGATTAAAGAGCCCTTGAGAGAGATTTGGTGGTGAGGATGAGAAGGCCTCAGTGCACCTTCCGGGACTCGCACCGGTCGGAAAAGAGAAATACTGGGGAATCACATATTTACTCCGGCAGAGTTACGGGCCGACGGACCTTTCAACATACTCAAGAGGTTCAATAGAAATTATGTGCAGACATACATATTACATATTTGTATATCGAGAGCTTTTTGGAAAAACCGTATGTCTCAGATTTTAAAACTTTTTAAATAACTTAGATATTTAAGTATGCGCACTGTAACTTGAAAGAAGATACTTTATTTTTCAAAATATAGCAGTACCAGTTAATAATGTAAATTACTAATGGTTTGGTATGCACATAGATTTTTTCTATTAAAATTTCAAATATTTTAAAATTTTTCCTATGCTGAACATAGAGGGTTTGCCCTACAAGCCATTGATATGTATAGGAGCGCATTTGATTGAACGTAATGTAAATCAATTTTGTATGATAATTGAAATCAAACCAAGGTCTATTGTGAATACCGAAAAATTTTTTGTTAATAGTGTTAAATACAGGTTTACTATGGTAATTATTTTTTGCACAATTAATAAACATAATGTACACAAGCACAAAACTCATTTAATTTTTAAAAAATTTGGGTGAATTTTCATGCAGTTGAAAATTGAAATTATTAAATTTTTATTTATAAATAATTTTGTGATATATGAAGAAGTTCGGAAAAACAAATTACTATATATTTCATTATTATTATTCATTATTCTTATTAAATTATGTATAGGTATGTGTATATGAAATTCTTATCAATTCAAGTTTACTTAATTCTTAACATATTATTAAGCAGGTATACACATTTAATTTACAATTTGTATGTATTAATAGTTCTTTCTGAGAGGAAAGTCTTTTCTTCTTTCTTTATTAGAAATTTTATATATAAATATAATTGAAGAACAACCACCTCTTGTTTTCATGTTCTTTTCTGCAATGATTTATGCTGCATTTTTAATATAAATTATAATTAAAATTGTATAAATTAAATTGAACTATAAACGGATTCATGTTTTACTTTTTTAATTAAAAATCAATAAAATTTATTATGTACAATTACATATGTACATATAATTAAAATAAAATTTATTTAATTATTATATTTTTATTTGTTATTTGTTATATTTGCTTAAATTTCAAATTAATTATTCCCCTTAAAATGTAATTTTGAATATAGTTCATAGTAGCTATATGTTACTTAAAACAAAAATGAAAAAAAAAAATAAATGGGTGAAGAACTCATTCATTCACAATTATAGAAAGAAATGGGATCACAGATTCAAGTTTAAGAAATTCAGTTTGGAAAATACGAAGAAGACAACTTTTATTTTAAAATTAAATGTGTAAATATATAAGTATATATGTATATGTATTATTATAACCATTATAAATGGTTTGTTGTTGCGTATATAAGCAAGAAGTTAATGTCAAAATTTCTGTATGTTTATGTACATATTTATATTTACAAAATAATAAGTATTTTCTTTTTGTATTTTACTATACGACATTAGTAAATTTTATTACCTATTCAAAGATTATCAAAAAATATAAAAAAAAAGAATACCGACAATATTAACAGACGACATTTCGGTAATTGTCCGGAACGATATTGGGGATCATTTCATATCATAATGATTACAAGATGACAAACAACATACATATACATATATATATAAATTAATATATGATTTGTCTTTTATGCGTTGATGTACTTATACATACATTATTAAAAATATGCGTACACACTTATATGTACATACACACCTACATATTTTATATTAGTGTAACTATATAGGATGAGGATTTATTTGTTTTTTTTTTGTTTTATTTTTTTTTTCTGTTTTCATTAATTTAATTTTGTCATCACAAATTGTTATTTTTAATTTTTTTTTTTTTTGGTTTTTTGATTTTTCTTCATTACTTCAAATTATAATGAAAATTTAAAAACAGCAATAACTCAACTGTTAACAAAAAAGGGAAGATTATTGCAAAGGGAAAATGTTTAAACACAATACGGTTATTGTGGCCGATTCCCTTTGCGCTTCAAAATTATTGTTCTTACATATGTATGTAGAAAAAATGTATGTGAGTAGAAAAAGGGATTTGGTTTTTGTTTTCTTATTAATAATTTTTCAAAAGTAATTAAATTTTTAACATTATTCCGGACAAACAAATAAAAATTCTTGCTTTCATTAATAATTTGAAGTAAGTACGTATGCACTTATATACACAATGAAGGTTAATATAAATATGTATATGTATCTAAAATAATTGATAACATTTTGATAATAGGAAGTGCAAATGTTTCGGTTTAAAATACAATTATAGGGTTGTAATAATGTTATTGAAATTTTAAAGCAAAATTTGTATGAAATTTTAAAATTAAATTATGTAGGACAAAAATGTTGCATGGGATTTCTTAAATAGAAATTAACAAATCGTGCTTTACATGAATATATATGTATTTACGTATTATACATATGAATACATACATATGTAATTTTCAAAATTGTGTACAATACAATAGTCGTTGAATATTTTATTTTGTAAATAAATTAGGTGATAATTTTGCTAATAGGGTTTTTGTTAATATTTCAGATTGCCCGATTATGGCCGATCATTCACGAGAAAAAAATAACTATGTAATAATATTCTAGTTCTAAAATTTAAAAAATTTCTAATAAAACGAACCAAAATGTGGGACAATTCTGTGCAATAATTCATTATTTCTTATATACCAAATGTTATTCTCATGTTATACATATTAATTCTCATATGTTATATTTCTTCGCCATATTATTAAAGATATTCTTTAATTTTATTACTCCACTTTGAAATATTCTTACAAAATTGAAATCTTAAAATGAATATGCTATGTGTCTTTAATGTCGCACAGATCAAAATTCTTATCATTAAAAATATATAGAACAAATATAGATTATTGAACTTGCTGCTTATAGAGAGGGATACAAAGAAAAAAAAATTAAAAAAGAAAATTAATTTTTGATGTTTTTTATTGATAGTTTTAAATAATATGTTGCAAGTTACATACATACATTGATACATATGTATAAACTTATGTACTTTCCCAACATTTTTGATGATAGTTTTATTTTTATCCTGTGATCCCATTTCTTTCTATATATAATAACAAAAGTAGACTCTTTTAACGATTTTAATAATGTTTTCTTTTTTCTAACACATAAAACCTCTTAAAATATTTAGTCAATTTTATGATGTGTAGGATATTTTAAGTGATTGAACACAATGTTGATATTTTAAGTGATTGATAATAAAAATTTAATATAATAAATTCATTTAAGATAATATTAATAGGCGAGAATATTATGACTTATGAATATCAATATTTTAAAGAATATTTTTATATTTCATGCATAGCCGTAACATATTTGAAATTTTAAGTTATAATTACCCTAAAAATATTAAAAATTATTTTACTCAAATCAATTATTTTAAAATAATATTGTATAATGTTATGGCGCATACATAAGTAGTTTGTTGTTCTATATCTTGAAAAATCTGTTAATGATCCCTTTTCTTTAATGAAAAGATTTAGATTGAGTTCAATTTCATTAAGAAATTTTGTTTTTGACATTCAAATCTATAACAATATTGTTAATTTGTCTTGCTTTTTTTTGGGTTTTTCTGTAAGCAAAGAGTGTTTATTCTATATTTGATAAAGGTTATCTAAAAATAAAGTTGGATAGCACTCTCAAATTAAATTTGTAAGTGTTATATTTAAATACAAGAAAATTGTTTTAGATTATAGATAGGATTCATTAAATTTAGTCCTTTTAAGAATTTCTAAGAAATTTGTAAAATTATTTTTTTTTTATTTCAAATTTAATGATAAGGGAAAGTTCAATGTGTTTTGTTTTTTAATAAACTGTGAAATAAATTTCTATCAGTTCCTTACTCTTTTTTGATTTATCAATTTATTTTTAAAAAATTTTTTTTAAATTATATCTTAATTACTATGAGGTTGAGTTGGGTTTTTAGTATAAAATATGCCCACCCGTGGTTTAAAAATATTTTTGCAAGTAATTCAAGAAAATATTTAGGTGATGAGTAAGAGTAACTGTAATGAATGTTACAGGTATTTACTCTAATTATTAATGAACACCAACTAGTTGAACGATTGAATACCGTGGGTATTTAAATGAAAATATAAATAAAACTTACATGCAAGAAAACGTATGAATTTCTTTGAAATATTTGCAAGTTCCACCATGTAAACAATATTGTTTCATTTCTGCTGCGCATTCATCACCAGATCTTTGTGCAGTTGTTTCAGAAATTGATCCTAAAAATATTTAATATTTAAGTAATACGGAAAAATAACAAAAAATATTCTTTATTATAATTTTTTCTTCAAAATATTGTGCGTATGTACGTATATATGTGCTTAATATATAATATATTATATAATCATTTTGCATCGGAAGTTTCCGATCGAATTATGATAATATAAAAAAAAATATAATTTTTAATTATGCTCGTATTAAAGCTTCTTCTAATAAATCATAATAAAAATAAAAAAATTAAAATAAAAATTTTTGTAATCTACAATTTATATATAATTTGTGTATGCTTGTGTTTGTGTTACAGTTGTTATACTCACTAAGGGCTTCAACTTTAATTGTTTTTTTCTCCGGTTTTTGAATTTTTTTATTTTTTGCTCGACATTCGTATACTCCAGCGTCTGAACTATTGAATGATTTGATAATAAGTTCCGATCGTTTTCTAAATTACCAAAATATACAATGAAAGAAGAAAAAAAAAATAATTATTTAATTTTTCGATTATTTTTGTTTTGATCACATAAATGCATATACATTATAACAAATACAATAAAACTTGCTTAAAAAGCATAATTATTTTATAAATGTTGTAAGTGCTGTGCATTGGGGCTCCTCATTTCCCGGCAAATATATGATAATTTTATTCAGAGAAGGAGAAAAATTTGAATATAATGGCATCGAAAGTATCTGAATGCAACAATAACAGTCACGAATATCGCGGCGTATATCCAAAGAATAGGCAAAAATTAAAAGGTAAGTTTTGAAAACAGTGCATCAGAAGGGCTTTGGCAAGACCATTTTAGAAAAAAAAATATAAGAATGAATTTTTATTTTAGTTATAATGTTTTCTGCTACAAATAAAAATGTTTAAAAACAAGATTCCGAGAGTTTACTCTTTTCTGAAGAACATCTTTTTGCGGGTTTTTCTATATTGTGAGGATCGTGCGCTCTTGCATTGCTTCTTAACGAATGCCATGAATATTATGAAATTAAAAGTTTTAGCTCATTGAAATTTTGTTGATAATAATATATGAAATATTTACTTAGGATATATGAATATGTTATTATATAAAAAAATACTTACTTTAAGTGAACAAATTGATATAATTTTCGATTTCTTATCGATTTATTATCTTTAAACCAGGTTACTTTTGGTGGTGGTTGACCACTAACACGACATATAATCCGTAATTCTTCACCATCCTTTACTCGTCTATCACCTTCTATTTTAATACCATTTGCATTTGCAGTTAAAGATCTAATTGAGGCGCGCTGTTCTATAGAACAAAAAATATAATAGAAAAAAATACAAGAAAAAATGATTTAATATTAAAAACATTATTAAAAAATTTTTCTTAAATTTAAAATAGAAAATATTTTAGAAATAGCTAGTGTAATTATTATAGCATAATTAACAATTTCTTATTATTAAGTTTGATGAATAGATTTTTGTTTAAAACTGTGAGAATATATATGAGTTGTAGTAAACATTTATAAATCTCAGTAATAAACATTTCGAGCCAATGAAGACGATGTCATTGATATGTGCGTGCCGCTTTAATCCTGTGAGAGGGTATCAGACAGACACTAGCGATTATGTCGGAAAGACTGGCTGTTATAGAAATCATACTCGATCAATTTCCACGTAGTCCGGAGTCGTCGCGGGCGGAGGAGGCTCACAGCAGGTCCGGGAGGAGCTTAGGAAAAAAATCGAGAGAGAAGCCGAAACTCGAAGGTCTCGAGTGCGATGGCGACAGGGAGCTTTGTTTTGCGTTAGAAAAGAGTTTCTGAGAGGTTTTCTTTTGGCAGTGGAGGGGCGCCGAAGAAAGTAAATTTTTTTTGTCAGCATGTGGGGTGCGGTTCAACTTTTAATAAGTCGAAGTGGATCGTCACACTGTTGTTACCCTCTACAATTTAAAATATACGATATCACAATGTTACTTTTAAATTATTGAATTCATTCGTACATTGAATTTTGAATTTAAGATATAGACTTACTGTTCTTTCCGCATCGTATCTGTACGTGTTAATTTTTTAAAATAAATATTTTGAATTTTCCTATAAAGATTTACTTTGCTCCGAAAAATTTTCGTATAAATTTTTGTTTTTTCAAAACAAATTTAATTTGATAAAAAGTGTGTTTATTCTATTCACATACGAATATATTATTATAAAAGAAATATAATTGCTTTATTTAAATAGATAAAGTTGTCACAAATACATGTGTGTATATGTATGATTATAAGTTATAATGTAATAATTATCACTATAAATTCATGAGAATTTATTGTTTTCATTTAAATTTTTCCACATAATTTTTTGAATTTTACTGAAATTCCATTAAAATTACTAACAAACAAAAAAAAAATGAATTGAAACCAAACATTTGCCAAAAATACAAAAAAAAAAAATTAAAATAAATTTTGACTATTCGCTAAAATAAGAATCCTTCAGTTGCTATTTTAGTCTAGCGAAAAATAAGAAAAAACAAAACAAAAATATAATAAGTAAAAGAGTAAAACACGTACATACACTTATAATGTGTTACTATGTAGGCATCGTTGATGCGGTTGACTCATAAAAACGTGATTTTATCTATGATAAAAAAATTAAAAAAAAAAAAATTTTTTTTTTGAACATTTGGACAGTAAAATTTTTCTATTAATTCAAAAAGCAAAAATAAAAAAAAATTTCTTTTCAAATTTGCAAAAATAAAAGAAGTACGAGTTTTCATCAAAAAAAATTTAAATTTGATTTTCATTAACAAAAGATATTGCGTTCGTGCGGAGCAACACGGCTGCAATCAACTATTTTAAAGTATTAGTGGATGCATAATGAGGCGGTCGACTGATTAGAGTTGAATAAAAAAATTTCGTTATAAATTTTTCTCCCGCTCTCGCTTTTTACATGCCAAAAATACTTGCTCAAAATTAATTTATAGACAGGAGTGTATGAAATGAAAAAAGGTGTCAAACTTTTAATATTTAATTAAACTGTAGTGTATATTGGCGAATTGAGTGAAATTCCTTTTAATAAAAACTAAGTAACAAAAAATTCTAATATGCTTTTTTTAAGTAACCTAGCATGTTACTGATAAAGGTTTTACTTGGCTATGCGGGAATGGTTTTACATTAATATGATACTCACATTTAAGAATGAAGTTAATTACATTATTTTAGTGTTATTATGTTAAAGGGCGCAAATTTATAGCAAATTGTAGTGAATTTAATATAAATGACGAGAAGAAATAATACACAAAATTTTTGGATTTCACCTCGTACACGTTTAATTAATTTCCAGACAAACTGTCGCATACGGTTTTTTATTCTATAAAAAAATCATAAAGACAAATAAATATTACCATATACTTGTAGCTTCAAATTAGTATTTTAGTATCTTGTTTTTATATTTTAGCATTTTTATTTTTTAAAGCACTGGACGTTCTGTTTTAAGTGGTTTCGGTTTTTTTTTTCATATTTTTTTGCAAAATATTTTTTATTCCTAAATTAAAAAACAAATTAGAAATTTTATTGTCGCAAAACTCACTAAAGAGCGGTAAATTTAGAACCACATATACATTCATACATATTTAATATTTACTTTAAATTTGCACTATTGTTATGATATCGTAAGTCTTAAATATTTTAAGTTGTATTTGGAATATTTCGAAAAATAAGTGTAGTTGTCATTAACTTGTTACATAGTCATCAAGTTTCGGAAAAAATCAAATTTATTAACAGGTTATTTTGTAATTATATGCGCACACTCAATAATTAAATATTTTACCTTCATATTATATGAAATTAGACTAGTTTTCATATTGTATAATTAGACTAAATCTAAAACTATATTAAAATAATTTGTTATAATTATCCGAAAAGAAAAATGATGAAAATATATTTCGGAAGTTTCTTGTATTTAGACAAATTGTTGTATAATATTTAATTTCTTTGACACAAGAGAAAAGAAAATTAAATAAAATATTATTGCATAATGGATCACATTATAGTAGAGGTGATTTGTGGGACGTCTAACTATTTTTATGTGGGAAAAGTCTTTTTAAATTAGGCGGTATCTAAATAAAACGTTATAAAAAGCCCCACACACACAAAATTTTAAAAAGTTATAAAAAAAAATTATTGTGTGCCAATTTATTATTTATTTAAATTTAATTTTACAAATCGCAAGTAAATTTTAATTTTAAAATTAAAACTACTTGGTTATTTAAAAATATTAAACGAAATTGTGTTATAAAAAAAATATTCTTAAAAACAACCTCAACTCATATGAGACAACCATCTGAATTCAAGTATATTGATAAGGGCAGGAAAATAAAATACAATAGAATTTTATTAGTAGCGGTGACTTAATCAAAATAAAACTAGCTTAGCACTGAAGGATTTTGTTTATACAAATATTCGATGTAATGTGTGGAATATCTATCAGAGTATTTTTATGCAAAAATACACGGCACAACTTTATCCGGATGGTTTAATGCCGCCTTCGTAGTCTTAACTTGTCAGAATAAACCTAAACATCGCACAAAAAACTGGAAATCAATTTCTATTAGACAACAATAGAGCGTGTTTGAAGTACAATGTAGAGTCCTTTGATCAAACAATTAATTACTATACCATAACAGCTATCTACGTGTACTTTCTTAATTATGGAAGATGGTGCATTATACGAGTACAGTAGAAATAAATTAATTTTACAGGATAAAATCATAAGTATAAGTCAGGAAATTATACTAATCTTAATTTTACTTATAATAAAATATCATTTTCATTGCAACTATAAGCATATATGAGTTTGAATGACGCACAAAAATTCAATATAAAAATTTGTATTCAATACTTCAGCAGTTTACCGAATAAATTTAATTTTAATATTAAAAAGTTGATAATTTTAAATTCGATAAATTAAAATTTACATAAGAAATGGTTAAGTATAATGCTTAGCTATATATAATTAGTTAAAATTTAAGAAAATTAATGATTTTTTTCTTTAAAATAATTTAATTAATTTTAAAAGCATATAAAATGATAAAATCTATAATTTATATGACAATTAAATATTGTTAAGTTCGTTAAATAAACTTAATTATTAATGTACTTGGAAAATATATACATGTACATATATATATACTCTTGAACATTATAACATTTTAAATTTCAATAAAAGAAAAGAAATAATAAAAAATTTTATTGTAATAATTATAAGATTTTTAAAAATTATTGTACAATAAAAGTTAAAAATGAAAATCATGGGAAAATTTTGGGTGTTTATTATTTTTTTCCTTTTATTTTTATTTTTAATTTTATTTTAATGAAATATTATTGTTATAATTGTGCAAAATATTTTCCATCATATATTTTAATAGATAAATTTGATGTCATTTTTCTTATTTATCGCCCTTGGATATTAAAATAATATTCGCGTTCTTTTATTCTTTATATTCATTAATATATGCATACATAGGTATATATATTTTCATTTTGAAAAAATTTCGTACTTGTGAAAATGAAAAACTTATCCGTCAAAAAAAAACAGGAAAGCCCATAGTAATACGAGACACATACCCATTTTTACATATACATATGAAAACATACCTATATGGTAATTTTCTATTATTTTTTTTTAATTATCTTTTTCATACTTGAGCAAATAAGTGCAAATTGGATGTTATAATGTGTTTCGTAATACGTTCATAATTATCTATCTTATGGAATTGCAAAAGTTAAAACTATAAATTTTTCAATTCATTTATTGTACTATCGCACCGTTTATAAAGCACCAGCTAGGCTTATAATCCTCATGTAGTTACAGATTTGTCCAAGTGTCAACACCCCAAGCACGCCAATTTTCCAAGTGCATATAAATATATGCTCAGCTGTATTACTTTCATCATCGCAAAATCTAAAAGCAAACAGTCCACAGGCTGTTCTAATTTGTGCGAAATAGTTTGCAATATTCAATCAGGAGGCCGGCAACAATGCTATTGTAGCTGATTCATTTGTAAGAGCGTCGGCCCCTTCATTACCGCCCCTATTACCATATATATATATACCGACATAAGTCGGGATTCGCGACAGCACAATTTTATTCTGCTAAGTTCCCACAATAAATTCAATATTATATAGAATTAAAAACCTGACGACGCTTGAATATCCGAAATTATGCTAATGGTTTTGTTCACATATACCCTACGAGTGTTTTCACATAAATAAGGTCAAGTAAATAAGGAAAGCTAAGACCTTTGCCTGGAAAATCACTG